TGCCATTGGGATAAAACAACAACGAGTTTTTATAGGGGAAGAGTGACCTCTGGCGGTCGATTTAACAGTATTTGTATCTATGAAATATATTTTTAAAATAACACACACACATATATAGATTATATATATTTGTAGAATATATATATAATCATAAAATTGATTTAAGATTTATTTTGGAAACCTCCCATAAGCGACTCTTCTGATGAAAGACCACCTTTATGAAAAAAGACCTAATTGAAAAATCATCTCCAAGAGAGACTAAGCATTTTCATGTTATTTGAAACGATTTGTCTCATGGGAGAACTCAATAAATTAGGAACTGAATATAGACGAAAACTTTAAGAGAGCCTTTAACAAAAAAAAAACATGTATATAGAATAATAAAAATATTTAATAAAAATAAAATATATATATAAAATTGATAAATCTATATATATATAAACGAATGTTTGTATGTTTATTTGTATATGTCCGGTATACAAATTCGCAGTAGTTCACTAATTCAAACCAAAATTTCCATACATAGGTAAAAAAATACGGGGAAGACGATAGGCTATTTAAAAAATATATATAAATCAATTATTAAAACTATATATTTTTAGTCAGAAAATGATGATGACGATATTGCTGTATCATGTTTGATTATCAGATACAAAATTATATTGGGAAAAATTCCAAAAAACAGAGACCACGGGTGAAACCAGTTCATTATTTTGTACGCAGGAACAAAATTCTAACAGAAAAACATTCATTCGAGCAGAAAACAAAAGCCAGATCATCTTTCTATAAAAATAGAGCTTCTCAGACACAAAGTTTGGAGCGGGACGTTTCACAAAGGTGACATCCACGGTGCCAATTTATAATTGTAACGAATAGTATTTGAATAAAAACATTTAATCGGGTAAAACCCGGGCGTTGCCCGGGTCATTCGGCTAGTATTATATATTTAAAAAAATTATTTTGGTAATAAAGAGTTAATAGAGAGAACTAACAAATTAAAAAATATATAATAATAATGCGGTTCTTTTCAACACAACCAAAAGAATGTTCATTTTTTTTATGAAAATCTTTAAAACAAATAAACAAGAATTTGAAAATTTCTCTGAAGGTAAAAAAAGAACAACGAGGATTGCCAATAGACCACAATGTTCAAGAAATGATAAGTCAATTTAAATAGTAATATATATATATTAAATAAAAATTATATTTTATTTCTAAATTATATTTCCCAGATCGAATTACTCTGTTCAGTCTACCGACAGAAGTCTCGGCTTTCCCTATATAAACCTATTGTTGTTGTTTCCCGTTGGCCGGCTCAAATCTTTTTGTACATATTTATTTATTTATTGTTACAAAAGCACGAAGTCCAAAGGACTATTGTGCTGTGCTAGTATTATTTACATATATATGATTAAATATTTACACTATGGATTAGTATTGTTTTGTAAATTATTGTACAAATATTTCTAAACTTAACAAAGTTCTCATAAGATATAGTATATACAAAGAGAATTTGGTAATGTTTCAAAGTATCTACATACAATTTGATTAGTCAGAGGGTAAGTTAAAAGAAGATGATCTGGTGATTCAACATCTAAGCGGCATTCACATGTTGGATCATTAATAGCATTCAGTGTGAATAGGAAACTTAAGAAGGGTCCTTTGCCTGTTAAGAATAAAGTAGTGAATTTATCAGAAGAAATGAAATTTAGGACAGCAAATTTTGTACATATGTAAATATGTAATCTTTTATTTACTTCTTTACGCCTCAAAACAGGTATTTCTTCTTTAATTATTTTCATCAACTCAATTAAAGCAAATTCTGATCTAAACTGTTTTTATTTATATTTTCAAGATTTTCCCGACTGAAAACCAATATCACAAACATACTCATGTATCGTCAAAATAATCAGAAAGTAATAATTCTATATCTCAATAATATTCTAAGATCAACAGCAGAAAATCATATACATATATGTGTATACTATGTATATACTCACTCAATGATATACCATGGTATATATATGTTATATTAAAATATTTTATTTAAAATTATTTTTCATAGATTCATATATTCTGTTTAAATCTACCACCAGATGTCGGGACTTTCCCTATATAAAACCGATTGTTGTGTTTCCCGATGGCCGGCTCAAAACCTTTGTATATTATGTAAATAATCTTTTGTTTTCCTTGTTCTACTAGCCTTAAGCCAGGCAGTACTTTTATCAAATTATGTTTTTCATATATATTCCTTATATCTCAAAAAAAAAATATCTGATCAAAACTATTTTATTATTCCCACGACTGCAAAACAATATCGTAAAATACTCATGTATACCAAAATCAAGCAACGAATAATAATAATCCTCAAGTTAATCAAAATCAAGCAGTAAATATTTTTTTATATAACATATATATCACATCATAAGAATGGAAAGAGATAGTATTGACAATTAACATACTTTTATTGACATCTTGTCAATACAGGTCAAAGTGAGAGATAACTTAATAGAATCTTTTGTCATAATATTATGATGTAATAAGGGACATTTAACATAACTACTATATACCATAATTAATGTCGATACTTTTAACTAGAAAGGTAAACATAAACATCTTCTGACGATGCACCTAACCATTACACAATTACATTTTTGTACTATCCCTTATATATATAAAAGTCAGTGTATGTATGTATGTATGTATTTATGTTTGTCGTCTATACATGTCCACAATACGTAGCTAATCTGACTGAAATTTTAGTAGTATATAGAGTAAAATCTGGAAAAACCTTTAGTAAAAATTTCAGGTCTCTTTCCCGAATATTCTTCGAGTTATTTGCAAATTTGCCCTTTTGCTCACAAGCAGCGCCTCTAGCGGTGAAGATGGGAGGTAATATCAGCTGACCTAATATACATGTAAAGTTTGGAGAGGGACATTACACGAGAGTGACATCCATGGCGCTAATTTATAATTGTAACGAATAGTGTTTGGATAAAAACATTTAATCGGGTAAAACCCGGGTCATTCGGCTAGTTATTTCATATATCCTCAGCTATAACGATATAAATATATATATACCTAATATTTCAGGCTATCAAATGATGAAAACCTAAATTAAACTTTTGACAAATATTTTTTTAAAAAAGATTAAAGAAGACTCATTGATAGTCATTTATAATTTTTAAAGTTATCTTATCCAATCAATACATTTTATTACAAAATATTGTGAATATTATCATTTATCATTGCTTAATTTCTAATTAGTTTTAGTAACAATAGAGACTAAGTTTCAATAAAATATTTTAAATTGTCAATATAATTTTTATATGAATATTAAAAATAATTTTTTTTTCATTATAGTTTTGAAATGCAATAGTGCTGAAGATTCTCCGAAACATATCTTATCATGCTCAGAACTGACAATAGAGGACCTATTTTCCAGGCCTATAACTACCATATCAAAATTGGAGAGGAGTGGACTTCAGGAATTGGTTTAACCATGGAGATAAGCACCACCACAATAATTTATTATATATATATTTATACAACATAAGACTGCGGGATATACAAAAGATGGCAATTCCTTCAAAATAATTCATTAAAACATTTAAATTTATAACAAATAAATTTACTGACAATATGTTTCTTTTCAATATTATCACATTAAATAATTTTATATTAGATAATATTATTGAATAATTTGATAAAAAAATATTAAATAATTTGATATTAATTATAAATAAATTGATGATATTATTGAAAGGAAACACAATGCCAGTAAATTTATATGTTACAAATTTGGTCGATAGATGAAAATTGAATTTATAAATTAAAACAATATATATAGTTGTTAATGATGGTGATGAAGAATTATCTACCCTACCAGTTACAGAAATACAGATTTGAAATTTGTCTGAATTTGCCTAACTCTACTGTTATGGCCTTTTCTTAATCACCCTGTATATGATATGATAAACCAAAATTCATTTTTAAATTCATTTTCAACGTGAAAGGTACCTCTTTTGGTTCATATATTTATATATATAAAATAAAAGGATTTAAAAGCGCGAATACCTCTTTTATACATAAACCGAACTTCTACTGTCCTTACTGCGATGAAAAAATATATTGGGAGGGCTTGGCTCATCAGTGGTGAACCCTCCCAGCGGTTTCGCCAATTTAATCCACCAGACCGCTTCTCAGAGCTCTAATATTGTATTGGATCATTCTGCTTTTATATGCTACACTGAAGGATGGAATCTTAGAAATGGTTTTCAAGTAAACTATGAACATAAGCTTATAGGACAGTAGAATTATATTCAAATATTTGCTTCGAGCAGTGCTCTTCAGCAAACTATTAAATCCTTTTATTTTATATGTATAGATGGCGCGTTATTGCTTTGTGTTAATTTATTCCTAATGACCTTGTCTTTATAGTTTGCTGAAGAGCACTGCTCGAAGCAAATATTTGAATATAATTCTACTGTCCTATAAGCTTATGTCCATAGTTTACTTGAAAACCATTTCTAAGATTCCATCCTTCAGTGTAGCATATAAAAGCAGAATGATCCAATACAATATTAGAGCTCTGAGAAGCGGTCTGGTGGATTAAATTGGCGAAACCGCTGGGAGGGTTCACCACTGATGAGCCAAGCCCTCCCAATATATTTTTTTCATCGCAGTAAGGACAGTAGAAGTTCGGTTTATGTATAAAAGAGGCATTCGCGCTTTTAAATCCTTTTATTTTATATGTATAGATGGCGCGTTATTGCTTTGTGTTAATATATTTATATATTAGAAACAAAAAAGGCATATTTTGACCGCTCATATAAGCATTTTTGATGACAGAGCGTCATTTAGAAGAACAAAAAACCAACTAAACGTTGATTTAACTTGTTATATGATATTTGGCCAATCCATTTTCATGATTAATAAAAAAAGCCAACCACGAACGTGTTTTGGGATTCTATTTTTATTCTTGTTTTCCACATATTTTATCCAGGGTACCCATGTCCAGGGTAGGACATGGCATCTGCCTGGTAAGCGGAACACTGTGGGTTCGATTCCCATCCCTGGACACTTTTATTTTTCCGTTTATCATTACTCTTCACAATTCATCTTTTCATACCTCATCCCTAAGGTTAAAAATATTCGTTATTTCTCCTTCAAATAAATTTTGATTTTTCGTTCAAAAGAAACACATGCGGGATGATTTTCAAATGTTATTTTACAACCACAAGTCGCATTATATTATATAACATTAATATATATAGTCACGACCGTCTGTCGTGGCCTCTGTCACGGATAATATACAGTTATCATCGTCATGCGTTCTTAATTCTGTCACCGTTTGCTTTTGGTTCAGTGGTAGAATGCTCGCCTGCCACGCGGGCGCCCCGGGTTCGATTCCCGGCCGATGCATTTTTTTTTTTTTTTTTTACAATTTTTAAAACTCATCTATATATTATACAAGAATGACATCCACGGCGCCAATTTATAATTGTAACGAATAGTATTTGAATAAAACCATTTAATCGGGTAAACCCCGGGCGTTGTAGATTATAAACACAAGTTAATAAGACCACATCCATGATAAGGTACAGTTTGGATTATAGATTATAAACACAAGGTAATAAGACCACATCCATGATAAGGTACAGTTTGGATTATAGATTATAAACACAAGGTAATAAGACAACATCCATGATAAGGTACAGTTTGGATTATAGATTATAAACACAAGGTAATAAGACCACATCCATGATAAGGCACAATTTGAATTATAGATTATAAACACAAGGTAACAAGACCACATCCATGATAAGGTACAATTTGGATTATAGATTATAAACACAAGGTAACAAGACCACATCCATGATAAGGTACAGTTTGGATTATAGATTATAAACACAAGGTAATAAGACCACATCCATGATAAGGTACAATTTGGATTATAGATTATAAACACAAGGTAACAAGACCACATCCATGATAAGGTACAGTTTGGATTATTACTATATATAGTCACGACCGTCTTTCCTCATCGGCCGCCTCTGTCACGGATAATATACAGTTATCATCGTCATGCGTTCTTAATTCTGTCACCGTTTGCTTTTGGTTCAGTGGTAGAATGCTCGCCTACCATGCGGGCGCCCCGGGTTCGATTCCCGGCCGATGCATTTTTTTTTTTTTTTTACAATTTTTAAAACTCATTTATATATTATACAAGAATGACATCCACGGCGCCAATTTATAATTGTAACGAATAGTATTTGAATAAAAGCATTTAATCGGGTAAACCCCGGGCGTTGCCCGGGTCATTCGGCTAGTATTTATATATTTACAATAAAAATAGCATTTGATGACCTCTCAACATTAGCATTTTAGATGTCAGGGAGCCATATAGTGGAACAAAAATCAACTAAATGTTGATTCAACATGTTCCATGATATTTAGCCAACCTAATTTCTTGATAAATCAAGAAAAGCCAATCTTGTGTGCAGTAAAGATAATCTCATTTTATTTTTAATATCAACACCTAACCTTTTTTTTCTATTTTTTTTATAATTGTTTTTCACCAATTTATATAAAATATCTAAATTTACATTAATGATTATGCGTAAATATATGATATATTATATTTAAGCATGAACTATATATAATTTAAAATTATATACTCAATATATTACCTTTTAAAAATTGATATTTGTTAAAGAAAGAGAGAGAGAGGTTTTCGGTTCGGTTCCAAAATCACTTTAATAGGTACCGCTCAACAAGAACAACCTAGTTTATGATAATTGAAACAATGAATAATATATGAAGGTTATTCACATATTAAACAAAATGTTAACGCGGGATTCGATCCCGGTTAATGACTGTCGGGAATCGAGGGTGTTACCCCCTCGTCCACCGACTTGTTTGTTAGAGAGAGATTTCTAATCTCGAAATCTCTCGTAGTATTATAAAAATATATAAAACTATATATAAAAATATAGTTGAATGATTTCTAGAATTATAATTGTATAATAAATAATAAAAATGAATTTTCTATTCCCTTTCATATATATTTTTAAAATGTCTCACAAAATATAAAGGTAAATATGTAATTTAGTTCATTCCTGACAACATTTATATGGAATGCTAATCGCTCTATACTATAATATCTATATTTCAACACATATTTAGTTTAAAAATAATAAATACACAGAAAAATGTTAAAATTATAGAATAATGAATGCTCAGATTAATTAAAAATAAAACCAGAAGATAATCCCACCACTAATGAAGATAAACAATAAGGATTTCCTAAATCTTCCATAGCTATTTCTGTCTCCCAGAGAACACAAAGTACTGTTAAAAGAGAGCCACTCAAGAGAAGATAAAATGCTCTAAGTTAAGAAGACGGGCATGAACTAAGTTTAGCTTTTTAAGCTCAATTTATGGATACGCTTCGTTTGAGGCGAAAACCTCTGGAAAAAAAAGGAAGCAAGAGGGGTCTAAATTTGGAGGGTTGGGTCCAAGCACCCCCAGGGGAGGTCTAGCGGTGGTCTAACTGCCCCCTGAGGCTCCTCGACTTAATCAATTCCATATAATTCACTCAGGGGCTCCCTAGGGTCTCCCCCAACTGCAACTATACTGCTAGGGAAGGACTGATGGTGTTGTAATCGTTGCAGCGGTTTTGTCCAGGTTTTCTCTACTTAGTTGGAAGTTTATTGCGATGTGGGATTCCATTTTTTAGATTAATCAAATATGAAATATCCAAAGATAAGTTGCTTTATTACACTTTTAACTATTCTTCTCAATTAAAAAGACATACATTAGATCAAAATATCATTTATTTTACCTATTTATTTATTATATATAGATATTTTGATCCAATATATGACTTTTTAATCAAAGCTTTATTTATGGATTGCTATATTTTCAAAACCTTTAACTCTCTAAAATTAATTCAACATACATGCCAAAACAAGCTTCTTTTATTTAGTCAATTTTTGGCTACTATTTGCATAAAAATTATTATATGAAAATCTATATGATAAATTGGAATAATAGATATGCAAATATTATACAGTAGCATCGTCCAAATTTTTATAATAATCAATTTGTTACAAACCACGGAAATTTCAGAAGTTTTTAAAAGAGAATATAGGCAGTGGAGGATTCAAGTTGCTTTTGTGGTATTGAGGAACAAACCTCAAGACATCTACTGATCGATTGCCCAGCATTTCAAGATTATAGAATGAAGAATGAAAAAGTTGTTTGTGAAGTTAACGATTTGATTTCCGATAATAAATCATATTTAAAGTTCAATTCATTTTGTAAATACATTCTAAACTTTCTACACAATCTGGATCTCTAATGTTTTCATGCGTTGAATAATGTAAATAACTTATGTAAATAAACTTTTCTTCTTGTTTGGCGCAAGTATCCCTTGCGGGATATAGCGCGTTGGAAATAAAATAATTGTAATAATTATAATATTTTTTACTAAAAATGCATTCATCTGTATAGATGAATTGATATAGATTAGAGTAGAAATTATTATAATATTTATAAATATGGAATGTTAGAATTATAATTCGCTGTGTCAATTAGATTAATCAAATATAAATCTCCGAGGGTGAATTTCTTCTAAAATTACAAAATATTTTCTCACAATGAGTTTCTTTTTATTACAAAACGCTAGCTTTCAAGTTATAATCACTCTTCAACGGGCTTAATTAAAACTTCGACTATATCCTACAAGAAATATTTACAAAAACATACACGCGCAGCGTGGATATTTACAACTGAAATTTTAAATTGGTATGAAATAACCGATATTTTATTAAGCCCGTTGAAGAACGATTATCACTTGAAAGCTAGCGTTTTGAAATAAAAAGAAACTCATTGTGAGAAAATATTTTGTAATTTAAAAACTTTTTTCACAATTTTATCACGAATAAGTTTATTTATTACACTTTTAACGAGTTTCCAAGCTTTCGGGTTTTAAATGACCCTTCTACAGGTTAACATTTTTTTACTCCTTTTCTAAAAAAATTACCAGTAGAAGAGTCGTTTAAAACCCGAAATCTTGTAAACTTGTTAAAAGTGTAATAAAGTAACTTATTCTTAGAGATTTATATTTGATTAATCTAATTGATCCAGCGGATTATAAATTTAACATTCCATATTTATAAAATATGAAGTATTAAATATAAAATAAAGTATTAGAAAATTCTGTAAATATATCTATGATTTTCTCTCTGGGTAAAAAAACCCCGTAATTTCCAAACTAAGTATATTTGTTGGTGTTTATTTCATTTGTTGGTTGTAAATTCAAGCATCATTTTAATGTCCTTTCCTTTCTTCTTTAAACTCTACGCAAACCTTGTAATTATTCAATTGTTTATGTAATATAGTATCTAAGTTTAGAGTTGTTTCTTGACACAAGCATCCCTTGTGGGGATATCACGTCTGATTTGATAATAAATAAATAAATATTTATAAAGATTATAGTAATTTCTACTCTAATCTATAGCAATTTATATATTTATGTGGTATAATATAATAATGTGGGAAGAGAAATATTCACACCCCAAGTTGGAAGAGGAACCCAGGCAACCAAAGAGAGAGAGAGAGGAGGAGAGCCGGGCGTCCGTTCGTGTCGCACACAATCATCAACTGTCTTAAAAGTCCCTAGGTTCCAAGTAACGGGCCCCAGTGGTCGCCCCTTGGAATGTCGCTGAGGTCTAAAGTGACCGGTCCTTACCCTCCCGTCTCTCTCTGGTTTGACTGTAGGTTTGCTTTATTATTCCTGGAAGAGTATATATTATGACATATATATATATATATTAACACAAAGCAATAACGCGCCATCTATACATATAAAATAAAAGGATTTAAAAGCGCGAATGTTTCTTTTATACATAAAACGAACTTTTACTGTCCTTACTGCGATGAAAAATATATTGGGAGGGCTTGGCTCATCAGTGGTGAACCCTCCCAGCGGTTTCGCCAATTTAATCCACCAGACCGCTTCTCAGAGCTCTAATACTGTATTGGATCATTCTGCTTTTATATGCTACACTGAAGG